TGCATTAATTCCTAAAAAGGTGGTGGTGATGCATTACTTGGGCATTTCCTTGCCTATGGACTCAGGTTGCACCCTCTCAGCCCAACCTCAGAAGCAACATTTATTTATTTCATTAAATCGGTATTTTGGTATTTTCTCACTAAGATCCAGCAAGTTCTCGGCTTTAGCAGCTCATATGAAATCAGCAAACCAGATTTTCAGTCATTTTCTGGAAAGATGCATTTTCCTCTCTCTGAGCTTTGTGCATGTTGTTTTTTGTTTTTTGTTTTTTTGGTTTTTTTTTTTGAGCTGCTGGTGGAGGATTCCATGCTCCACATGCACAGCCTGACCTCCACAAATTACAGGCATTTTATCTTTCTTTTCTTTTGGCTGTGAGTAATTGGAAAAGATTAAAAGTCCACCTGTTGTGTTGGACTATGGCACGCTTGCCAGAACAACCTGCCGTCTCCATGGGGTCCGTGAGCCCTTCCTTGAGGCAGGTACCGTGTTGGTAGAGCAGAGCCCTTTCAAAAGAAAAGCCAGATGTTTCCTTAAGCCTCTCAGTGGCTACACAGCTATTGTGCTGAATGTGATGGTGCTACAAGCTACCTTAAAAAAATATATATATTGTTGCTGTGCTTCATGATGTCACCTTGACCCAATCATAACCCACTTCTGTGAGCGCAGTGCTGACTCCCCAGAGAAGCATCCATGGAGTGACAGCAGCATCCCATGCAGCCGTCGCTAAGCAACAGGATTCAGCTTTCAGCAGGATCTAATTTTAAAGTATTTAACCCTAGATCTGTCAAGGCTCATTATTTCCGATGTGGTTGTTAATCCCTACTTGTTGGTGTCCGACGAATTGCAGCTTTGGAAATACTCTGATTCTCGTGGTGCAGAATTTTATGTGCAGCACCTAGAGCCAGGCAGATCTTAATCCAAAATTTATTTTAGTGCTGATCAGTGCACAGAAATTGTGGGTGCAGTTGGAAGTGGAAAACTGTGCACTGTCCTTTGTGACTCTGCCTTTCTTTGCTAGCTTGTTCCTCTCTAAGGAATACTATTTTTCAAATGAATGAATGCTTACAGGTGGAAAGGTGCCAAGAACACTTTGGCTTTCATTTTTAGCAATGTTATGTGTGCTGGATTTCACCAAGGTCCAGAAGCCTGTTGTCTTCTCTAAAGCCACTCCAGCACTCTGCTGGCATTTTGAAATGGTGGATGTTTTTTTTTTTTCATTCCTTTTCTTTTTCTAGCTGTCAAGCTTAAAAGATTACAAAGAATATTTACAGATCACTAGGAAGTGCCAATGAATATATATTTTTAAACAGCTTGCTGCATTTTATTGCTGTCTAAAGGGTAGAGCCTTGGAAGCCTACTCTCATATTTTACAAAAAATGAACTTATTTCTGACGTTGTCATTCCTTGATTCATTAATACATAGCTCCTTAAAGTGCACTCCCATTTGCTGCTTGCTTCTTTAAGGCACGAGGTATTTCACTCAGCTGCCAAAATGCTGCTTCTGCTGCTCAGTATCATAATCACAAAAGAAAGAGAAAACACGGAAGAAAACATACATGCAAACAAAATGTAGTAAAATGCAAACAAAAATAATTGGAACATTCATATTTTTAAAAATGTGAACATCGCCCATCTCAGCTTTGTAAACTCCACTAAGATTCTTCTTCCTCCTATTGTTAGGATTCAGATCCGACATGGCTGTGGTCTCCGTGCTGCTTCTCCTTTCCAGTTCACGCTAATACGCAAAGACAGTTCTGCTTCTGCCACAGCCCCTTTTCCAGCAGTTGGTGTGATCACAATGCCCCTCTGCTTTCGGTTCTTCTGGGGGTCCCCTCTTCTGGTTCTTCAGCTCCGTGTTTCCCATCCCTGCCTGGGATGTCTGAATAACCACTTACGGCTTTCTCCTTTTTGCTCTCTTTGGGCTGTTCCAGTGGGGAACCATGTCCCCTTCTTTTCCTCATCTCTTTTTCCACAATAGTTTTTTGTGCATTTCGCTCATTCTGAAAGTCTAAATTATTTTTGGTGGTGACACTTCAAGTCCTCATAAACAGGAATAGTTCTGATTAAAACGTGCCCTAAATGACCAGCAAATCCACCAGATCTCTCACTCTTCTCTCTGCAATGTTGAGAAAACAAAAGCAGAGCCCTGCCATCTTTACTGCAGATACAGTTCCTGCTTTGCTGCTGTCACTCACATAGGTTTGTTGGGGCTATTTTCAGTGGCTTGCGGGTCTCTGTCCACACCTTATATACAAAAAAAAAGCATTTACTTCTCGCTTTAAAATCTTCATAGTCCTCAGCATCTTTTTCTATGAAATCAGTTAATTTGGCTCACTGAAAATAAGACACACTGCATTTTTCTTTCTCCTTCGAAAGCACAATATTAGAATGTGAGTGCAGCAGGACTTATTTGGGTCAGTGTTTTTCCCCCAAAAGAAGAAAAGCAGGAAATGAGATTTTAGAGTATGAGTAGACCTCCAACAAAAGATGGTAGAGCGAGGGGAGAGGTGTCATTTGCCTGGATGAGACAAAATTCCACTTTGAGAAAAATGGAAGCAAATGTTCTCAGCTGTTGCAGAGTTCTGGGGTTAAGTGGAGCAAATGCCAGTGTGGCTTTTCTTTTTTGGTCAAGATACCTAAGTCGCTGCTGTTGCACCAAGGACTGGTATGGGCTGTGCTGCAGTGGAACCAATCCCCAAGGAGAAGAGTTTGGAGCATGTGAAGAGAACTTCTACGAGCTGCAAAGTCAGCCCTGTACTATCACAGGCAGCCTGCTTGGTCAGTTTTTCTGTCCTCTTGTTCTCAGTAATTTCTCTCTGTGCAAAGACACCGCCCCTGCGGTCAGGCACACACCCTATAAATGATTCAAGCTACTTATCCTATGGGCTGGGAAGGGGCATGAGAGGCAGAGGCTTGTTTTCTTTTCTATTTTTAAATGCTACGGAAACACTGAAATTATGATAGTGAAGACTACAGATAATGAAACTGTTCTGTGAAGTACTTTTCTGTTTATGTCATACTTTTTTGAGTGCTTGGCTTTTTTATATTTTATCAGAATAATCAGATTTTGAACAAGGTGAAAGGTTGCATATAACAAAAGGCTCACTACAGAGTCATGGTGAGAAATAACGAGTGCATATTGTGAGCACATATCCTGCTGTTCATACTTGCCGTTGCTAAGATAACAGAAACAAAACACCAGTTTAGGGTGTTTGCAGCTTCTGAGGATGTGGTTTATGCATTTCTTGTGATAGTCTGAAGACTGAGGATGGCTCCTTTCCAAAAGTTTTTGAAATTTTTCCAGACCTTAGAAACCCTTTTGTTGTGAATACTTGAAAGCATGTAAGCGATGACAATGAAGTTTATTTTCACAAAGCACAGAAAACATCCTGGGTGACTGAAAATACATTCTTTGTTTATTTCTCTATATGCACCTATTTACAGGATAAGCAAAATACAAGTTCTGATTAACAGACAGAGGAAAAAGCACTGTTGAGCAAGGAGTGGAGGATAAATGAGCCTGAAAGTGGAACATATCCTAACAATCACTGTAATTCCTAAATAAATTATCTGTCTTGAGACGCCGCCTAGAATTCAGCACCCATTGTACTAGCTGCTGGGTGCAGATGCAAAAAAAGGACAGCCTGTGATTCACTGTATATCCTTGGCTCTCTATTCACCCCAGTGAGAGCCAACAAGACAAGCACAAATACTATACGACCCTTATAAGGGATTATTTTGTTCAACATGCTTCAGCTTGCTTCAACTTTTGCTGTGGTAATGTGTTCTTTCATTCATGTGGGTGGACTTGCAGAAGACAATATTTTGGGGGGTTCTTTGGCAACCACAGCACACTACTTGGCATTCTCTACAGTCAACCTCTCTTGCTCTGATGTTATGATGACGGAGTCAATCTTACACAATTACATACCGGATCACTTGTGGGCAAGCATGACTACACTGCTCTGCAGCAGCACGTGCTGTGCACCTCTCCTATGCAGTGGTTGGACAGCCCTGCTCTCTGGAGGAGGTGAGTGTTAAGAGAGTGCCTGAGAGGAAACAGCACAACAAAGAAGTTTTTCAAAGCTGTGAGAAGGGGAAATATCATTGCAAATAGTTGCAATGACAAAATCAAAAGGATAAACCTGACAGTCTGCTAAGAGAAAGTAAAAAAATAAAACTGTTACGTACATTGTTGAGGAACTTTGACTTGACCTTTTTACCAAGTGCCACCACAGAACAGTGATAAATTACGCTATATGTTGCTAGCACTATTTTCATGCATGACCTATGAGAAGCTGATTAGGAAACAGTGCATTTTTGATATACGTGAGGCCAGCATGGTGCTCAAAACATACTGAAGTAGACCTGTTTCTGATGAGCCTAAAAATCTCAAGTCAGCTCTCAGCCTTACAGCCTTTCAGCACTAGGACCACCTATCTTTTGATCCACTCAATCTGCTAGCATTGTAAGAAACTGGTATTACCTCCTATGATAAATACCCTATATAACAGAACATATATTTGAATCTTGCCATTCTACACGGATGCAGTCAATAAAGCCCATATTCCTCCACCAGTCAGTCACTGCAGCAGTCAGTGGGGAAGCAATTCACTCAGCTACAGCTACACACCCTACATCCCTCAGCTCTCTTTCCCAGCTTTCAGCTGTGAAACCTCTCTGTCAGCATTCACTGCATCAGATATAAAGAGAAAATTCTATCACAAAAGCATCTTTGAACGCATCACAAAATGGGAGTGTCACATTTTGCAACATGTGCTCAAAGCATTTCATGAAAGATACATCCTAGAAAATCAAACCTGAAAATACAGGCTTAGAATCAGTTGTAAAGGTTTTCAATAATTCACCAGTATAACAGCAGTCTGTGATTAACCCCTGTATGCTGAATGGCAATTGCAGTGTGCTTCCAAGTACTTCGTTAGGAACTTCAGTAAGGAATGCAAAATGGAGTAGTAGTGTAATATGAGTCTACTATTAAATGTTAGAGATTCTTTACTCCCGTAGAGCTATTTCAGCTCTTGTGGTCAGTCAGAACAGCAGCAAGATCATTGGGGTGAATAGTGATGTCTTTTGCTTTCTTTTGCCTCTTCTAGACTTCCTAAAAACATGCAGTTTCTGCTTGTGGCAATATGGATCAGTAACACATCCTCCAACATACGGATTCCTGCAGAGATACAAACATATTTACTAATCCGAGCGCCATGCCCTATTCAGTGCTTGACAACACTGCTCCTGTGATGAGAAAAACAGCAGCACGCACCATGGCAGCTTCAAGGCCGAGGAGAAGGACAAGCTTCCATTGTGGGCGACTACTTCCCTCTAACAGGAAGCAAATAGGAAAGAAGGTATGAAAATGGTCACTCAGCACTGCTAGCACTGCCTGCTGCTGAAGGACTATGAAGACACCACATTAGAATTCAGTGGAAAATAATGATTCCATTGAAATTACACAAAAATAATGAATTCCTTTTACATCTCTATCCTCAACTAGGCAGCCCTTCACCCGCACAAGGAGCTCACAGCATGCTGGTGAAGCACCATTACAGTTTTGCCTTCTTATTTCTTTTCCTTGCACACCGTTCTCAGGCATTTTCAAAACCAGAGTTCTTTGTGAGAGAGATGTCTGGCATAACTAAGTGCACCGGCTGCGATGCAGAGCACTGATGGTGTACACGCACCTCAGCGAACGCCAAATGTGAGGATAAACGCAGCTGTGAAACAAAGGGACCCGCGAGGTGGCACAGAAGGGCTCTGGGGAGCCATACACCGCCGAGACTGAAAACGGACCCTGAGACCGCGGGCTGCGAGCAAACTGCTCGCACTGCAGCAGTTAACCACCCTTCCCTTCCGAGGGTCTGACCCACGGGATGACCCGAGCGCCGGGTAGATCGAGCAGCCCGGACAGCCACACGGGCGGGCGGACGCCGGCTCGTGCCCGGGGCTCCCCCTAGCGCCAGCCGCGCTTCAGCCAGACCGCCGCCCCGCCCGGCCAAGTGGCAGCGCTGCAGCGCCCCGCGCCGGGCTACGTCAAAATGGCGCCCGCGCCGCCTCACGGCCCCCGCCCGACCTCCCGCGCTCACGTCGCGGAGGGCCCGGCGGCTGTTGCTATGACGACGGCGGCCGCTGGGACCGCCTCCCCGGGGTCACGCGACCCGACCCGCCTTCCCGCCCGCCTCCGGGCCGCCATCTTGGAAGTTGCGTCAAGATGGTGGCGCCGGCGACTTAAGCTCCGCCCTCGGTCCCCGCGGGAACGAGGCGATGCGGTGACGTCATCACGCTGCCGCCGCACGAACCCGGAAGTGCGTCTTTCTCCGGTGGGCGTGCGGGGTCGGCGGCTCCGTTAGCGCCGGTGCGGCTGTGCCGGGGCAGGGGGATGGCGGCCACCGCGGAGCTGCAGGGGAAGTACCAGAAGCTGGCTCAGGAATACTCCAAGGTATCAGGAGCCCTTCCGCGAGCAGTGGCTGCCACCCCATTCCAGCCGCTCCCCGCGCGGCCGCTACTTGCCGCCGCCTAACGGCTGCCCCTCTGAGCGGGCGGGGGGCCCTTCCTCACACGGCCCCGGCGCTGCCCGGCGCTCTCCCGCCTGGCGTCGGCGGGCGGGGCTGAAGGGCTGCTGCTTGTGCGGGTCGAGATGACGCGGGGGCCGAAGATCGCCTCTTTGTGAGGAGAGGGCACACTTGGGCAGGCTGGGGGTGCGGGTTTGCAGACGCGGGCGGAGCGTGGTGGTGCCGCCTGCCGGCTGGTCAAGCTGCAGTGAGGAGAGGTGGCCTCGTCTGCAAAACATCTGTGGGACAAGCAGGTGGTTCTGCTGCGCTGGGGGGGCGAGCTGAGTCGTGCTTTCCCTTGGCTTTTCACTTCGTAGTCACGTGTGAGGCTTAGCCGTCTTCTTGAGTCTGTCTGTGCTGCTCTTACCTGCAGCCGCTGAGTTTGCTCGGACTGGTGGATATGGATGTCAGGGGCAGTAAGGGTGCTCACAGGGGTGTTGCAGCCTCCTGGCAGGGAGGATGCTTGACTTCACACCTGTCCTACCCCTGTTCCCATCCTTCTGCAGCTGTCTAAGGTGACTGACTGCTTCTTGTTTCTTGTACTGCTTACAGAAGTGTTCGCAAAGACATTGTCCAACAGGAGGAAGTGCTTTTTTCTTCTAGTGCATTTGAAATGATTTCCTGGATGGTGGGAGTAATGGTTAATCCAAAGCTCTTCTCTCTGCTCACTGAAAAGAAGATGAAACTTTGGTTTTGAATGTCAGCTTTCTACAACCTTGAGAAAGAAAGTCAGCACTTAATTTTCATATGTATATGTCTCTACATCAAAAAGAGCTTGGCACAAGACACTGACTGTATTTGATTACAGAATAACACATTAAATACTATTCCCCTTGGAACTGCTGTAAATGACTGTACAGAGTCTAAATTATTCACAGATAGATATGTATTTCTTAAACTCACCTTGTGGGAACAGTTAAGGAAACTGAACTGACTTTGGGGTTTTGTCTGTCACAGCTGTTGTCTGTTCGTATTTCTTGTTGCTTTCTACAGTGGTTCTGCTGTGCCTTGGACATTAAATATGGCTCAGGATAAGGTAACTGAGGGACTTTGCTGCTTAATTCCTTTGCTGTGTGGACCTTCTGACTATAGCTTTGGAATGTTCCAGCTAGCGGATCCTCTCTCTTCTAAAATCGCGTTGTCCAGAGGTGTTCTTTTAGCTTTGTCTTGCAACTGTCAGCCTGCAAATGTTCCACTGAATCTCTATGGGAACTATTTTTTTATTCCTAATCCTTTTCTTGCTGAACAGCCACAGAACATTGTGGGATCATCTTTCCGGGTAACTCATTTTATGCAAGTAATCAGTTGGAGAGTTTGTGGCTTATTATGTGCAGGTGGAAAAGGAGAGTAGTTCTGTTAAGCTATCTGTCTGTTCACTAATTGCGCTGTGGAAGCCAGGGAATGGGGCAGACGAGAGCTTAATAGATTCACAAAGTGATAAGGGAAGTATCTGACAAAGGATGATATTCCTTCTCAGTTCAGAGCAGTCCAGAAGAAGGGTCTGTGTTCTCAAACTTCTCTTCCCTTTTAGTTACAGCTTCTTGCTCTCTCACGCAGCCCTAATTGAAGCAGTAGTTGGAGAGCTTTCAACATGTGACAGCTTTTGGTGGATTGCACTTCAGCATAGTTAACTTGATGCTGCACAGTTGAGCGAGTTCATTCTGTTTCATCTCTGCATCTCACATGTTGCTGCCTTAGTGGCTGTGTCAGAAAGAGGAATTGAAAGCTACTGCACTGCTTCTTCTTGCTGGGACACCCTATGCTTGGAAGTCTCTGGTGCTCTTGCAAGTTTCTTCTCTTACCTTTGCGACATCCTAGCAACACAGTGGGAATACTGAAAGGTGAAAGCCTGTGTTTAGTGATGTCAATTGGGTTTTGACCTTCTGAAGTATATTCAGTCATCAGAGAAGGTGTGCTGTTGCTGATTCACACTGAACCTTACCTTTTATACTTCTGCCAGAGGTGTTCCCAAAGACTGTACAAACCCCTTTAATTTGTATCTGTAACAGCTGGACTAAAATATTTCAAACGAATACAAACTACCATTGAAGAAAAAAAAACAGGATTCAAGCAATCATCAAGAAATGGGAAGCTGATGCTGTTGGTATCCTTACTGCCACGGGGTAGAGGTACTCCGTGAAGTGACTGCGAAGGAGTCTTCTTAATGTTATATTTCACCTTAGTGATTTGTAGCTCAGATCTGTAAACTTAATAAGAAAGTCTGAGGGGACTTCTTGTGTGCTTTGTTATATTTTCTTCAGCTGTTTGTCAAGCTGCTCTCTGGATTATTTGCTGCAATTGGTAATATATATTTTTTTCTTAAACTATAGCTAAGCTCTTCTTGAAAGAGACTTTAACTGTTTATTCTGAGCTTCTCTTAATGTCATAGACAGCTATGGGGACAAGAAGGAAGAAGCAGAAGTAGCAATGAATCCAAGCAAGGATTTGCAACTTTTCCTTAGCCATTTACAGTTCTTGAAACCTTAACTGTGTCTTAGTAACTAATCTTCATGATAGTAAGTATTATGTTGTACTTGACTCGGGAAGTTCAGCTGGTAAAATAACATCTTGTTTCTTGTCAGTTCAGGATACAAATTTGGTACAACTTTTCTGCCTGGAACTACTTTCTTGAACAGAATGCTTTAAGCATGCACATCTAGCGCTGTCATGAAAGTATATGATGTTTTATGCACATTCTAGAAGTGGCTTTTGTTTGGTTATCCTGCATAGTTAATGGCATCTCTTTATTTTTCAGCTTCGAGCTCAGAACCAAGTATTGAAAAAGGGGGTTGTGGATGAGCAAGCAAACTCTGCATCTCTGAAGGTAATCTCCAAAAACTGCTCGTGTCAAATGTATTATGCTGTAACAAAATAGATGAATGGAAGGCTTTTTGAACTTAGTATTGTGAAGAGAAAAATAAAGCTATTAGTTTAGTAATAACTTCTGTTCTGTGGCCGCTGTATTCATTGTTCTCTGCAGGTGCTGATATTGTGAAAGCAGAAGATTGCTTCTTAATGGTTAGTTTATAGAATTAAGTATTTACTTGAGAATGATCTGCAGGCAGCTAAAGGAAATAGAATGTTTTTTAATTTAGGAGCAGTGTGATTTTGTTTTTCTTATCACTGTTCTAATATGGAAGAAAGACTATTTTTAATGAGCTCTTTTGATGCTTTTTTATTAAAATAACACATTAAAGTTTTTTTTTTTTTTTTACTTTTTCATCACCAAGGAGCAATTGAAGATGAAGGACCAATCACTGAGAAAATTGCAACAAGAAATGGACAGCCTGACCTTTCGGAACCAGCAGCTTGCCAAACGGGTGGAGTTACTTCAAGATGAACTTTCGTTAAGTGAAACTAAGGGCAAGAAGAACAAGGTACATGCTAAAGATGCAAACAGTTTGCTTAGCAGGTCTCTTAATCGACAGTGTTTCATCCTGATTTCTAACAACAGCTGCTGTATTAGAACTTTAGCTGTATGTTCTTGTCAGAACTTTGTCTGTTAACTGGCACGTTAGTGAAAATTTCCACAGTTAGTTATACATATATGTGAAGCAGCTCTTTGCTTCTCTTTCTAGTGTGTTTGCTAGCTGATGCTGAATTGCCGTTTCCCTTCTGAGATATTTATAAAATGTTTAAACGGCTGAAGAAGATCTTGGTGCTCTGTGATTAATCTATTGTTAAGATGGAAACTGGCTATCTTTTTTAACTCTGTTTCCTGCTGCTTTGTGCTGTCGTTTTGGTGTATAATTCTTCAGCCTTAGACTGTAGAATTTGTGATAGGCTCTTATATGAAATCTAAGTTCTTAGCTGGTTCTCCTTATATTGTTTTAAAATAGCAGAATAATTTCAGTGCTGAGGTCTTTCTTTGTCCGAATGTGTGCTGGTCAAATCTGGTTCTAGCATGTTCTTCAGATGTCTAAGACTGGCTATGTCTTTTGTAAGTAATATCAGAATTTCAGAGGTGGTGTGTCTGGACTTGAATAATTTTCTTGAGTATCCTTTGATAGTGTCATGATTCTTTTCAGGAAAAAATCTCTTTGGGCATCTCATCTCTTTGGGCAGCGATATCAGCTGTGAAGACTGATGTTAAAGAAGTCACTCAACTGATTAATGATATGCTCATCTTCCTTTCTTTTCCCTAAACATCTTTGCATTGTTATCTGCTTGCTTGACAAGTGTAGTGCCTCTGATTTACATTATTAACCACAGTAGAGTCTTCAAAATGCAGTTTGGTCCTTTTCTAACTTCAAGTTATCTTACCTGTAGCTTCAGTAGATGTTTCCAAATTTGGAAGGATCTCAGCCTGTCTTGAAAAGCTTTGTAAGCCATCGACACTGACTTTTTCCTTTCATATTCAACTGCCAGAATGCCTATTTCTGTATTATTGTAAGGCGTCTTTATATTAAATGGAATGTATCTAAAAGGTAGTTTTACCTGTTGGGTCTCTCTGAGTATGTTCTATTGAATATAAGGCTATAAAATTCCATGTCATCCTTATGATTCTTGCTGATGGGAGACGAAGTAGATTGCATCCAGATCTATTTAGATTGTTTCTGATGGATGATTTGTGTCAGACTGCAGCCCTTTTAAAAAGAGGGGAATATATGCCTATGTTTCAGGTGTCTTAGTTCATAGTCTTTGTGCTCTCCTGTGCCACTTTGCACTATTCGGTGGCAGAGTGTAGAGTGCTTCCTGTGTTAGTTCCTCATTCTCATGTGACCAGGCCAGCTTAAACATGGATGCTTGATGGGGGAAATGTGCCTTATATGTAGCTCCTGGAACTAAGTAAGCATAGATTTTACTGACTGCTTGGAATCATGTAAGGTTCAAATAATGTCAAATCTGAACCTGCTAGAAGCCATTTCATGAGAGTGCATGTGAAGTCTGTGCAGAGGCTTCCTGAGTCCTCACTAAATGAGCATTCTACTACAGTACAGTAAAAACAGCATGAAGGAAAAAGCGCTGCTTTTAAGCTAATTCTGTGTGCAATATTGTGTGTTGTTAAAGATGTTTGTTTCAGTGGAATACATATTCATGTGCTTCTGTTGGAAATCAGCGATTGCAGTGCATTTTCAGACACCTGAGATTGTGCTTTGGGATACCCCCACATACTTGGAGATAATGCATGCATCTGTTTTCCTTTAGAAAAGTGCAGAATCTTCATCTCAGTTGAGTCAAGAGCAGAAAAGTGTCTTCAATGAAGATCTTCAGAAGAAAATAGAAGAGAATGAACGATTGCATATACTTGTGAGTAAGATTTTAGTCTTTTTTTAATTGATAAAACTAGTCACACAAACAATGATGAAGAGAATAAAACAGTACCTAAAATGTAGTGTGCTTAGGCATTTAGTTGCATGCAAAATAGTAGCTTAGATCTGACTGTATTGCTTATAAACATGTCAAACAAGAAGGTATCTTGACTTCAGGTTCTGAAGACCATGTGTGAAATATTTCATATAATGTTTTTATCACTTAAACTAGCTGTCACTAAAAATTGAAAATCTACTGGAAGTAGACATTCAGTTTGTACTGAGTTGGAAACTCCTAGATTCACTAACAGTTTTGGAGCTGCTTTGAAGCTTAATGTATTTTCTGCGAATTGCCATCACTGAGTCAAGAATACATTTTACTTTGTTTTAAAAATGTGAGCAGAAAACCTTGTGGTTCAAGTTTAATTTCTCAAAATTCCACCAGTAATATTTTAAGTGTTTGATATTACAGATCTTTTGTATAACAGAAAGTACTTGGCTCCTGAATATTTTTTTTCTGTAAAAAACAACATAGAACTTCTGCTTGTACTTGTTTTGATACTGAACGTTAGTGTAACTCAGAACTAGATTCTGCAGTGAATGAAACTTATGCAAGGTTCTTCTTTTCTTGCTTTAGTACTTTGAAGCAGATGAGCAGCATAAACGTTTAGAAGCGGAGCTGAGAACTAAACTTGAAGTTCTGGAAACTGATGCTGCCCAGCATCAAGCTGTAGTGGACAGCTTAACAAGGAAATACACGGATACCATTGAAAAGCTGCAGAATGATAAATCCAAATTGGAAGTAAGGAGCTCTTCTGTTACGTGACGAGTTTAAAAAGTATTGAAATGTTTTGCTCTGTCAGTAATTACATTGTGAGATTATCTTCTTGCATAAAGATCAAGTCTCAGACACTAGAAAGAGAAGCTAAGGACTGTAGGCTTCGAACCGAAGAATGGTAAGTGTTCTTATTTAATATAACGACAACTTAGTTTAAAAGATTGACTTGATTACTTTTAAAGAGTGATAATGTTTGAAAAGAAAAAGTTGATAAACAGAAAACACGAAGCAACAGCATTTTGTCAAGATGGTGCAGGTGTGACCTCTTCGTTCTGTGTGTGACTAGACAATCAGATCCAGAGGCAGCTCTTATTAAATGATTTTGTCTGCCGGAATGTTTTAGGTAGCTGTGAAGTAGATGAGTGCTTGTAGTTGAACACTATAAACTGTGAAGGAGCTACTGAACTTGCATGAAGCTAAGAGTTTTTGTGTCATGCTTAATGCTATTGTATTTCATACTATACAGTTTCTATGCAATTTTGGGTCTGTTCTTCAATAAAGATCTTTGTTAATGTGCATGAGCTCCTTACTGGGTGGTTTCTCCATATATTGCTTGTCTATTTGGATGCTTTATCAGTCCTGATAAAATTCCATGTATTTCAATGTTTTTATTAAAAGAAAAAGCAAACTATTGCTTTGACACCTTCCTCCTACCCTCCAATATATGTGCAGGGGTTCTAGATGTCAAACTGGAAACAAAACATTGAAGATTTTGAGGGCCTAAGTTGGGTAAGGTAGAATTTTGGTTTGAAAAAATAAATACTCAGTAGTCTTTGTATATAATGCTGGAGTAGTTTACTGTTCATCTCTATCCTAGAGATATTAATAGTCATAATAACTCAGATTTGCCTCTCTGTATGCAATCAGATGCAAGTGAAGCAGATCTAAGGAAAAATTGCTTCAGAATGTATCAGAACAATTTGCAAGATCTTGTGAGAACAAGTGCTGTGGTAAAAATGCTTAAATACAGGGCTTTGAAAAGCTTTCAAGATGCTTCTAGTGATGATGTGATTTACTTCTTGTACAGCATTTCACTACTTGTATGTTGGAATACTGTATCAAGTATGTGTTAGCTAATATAAAGGCCCTTTTCCATTCCCATTCAAATTTCAGTAAGAAATAACATTTTTATACAACATGCGGTGACTGTGGAACTGGATAATAATGTAAAGATCAACTTTAAAGTAACTTGAGAATAGAATTTGGGATTTACAGCGTTTTGTTGCATCTTTCAATGTGTTTGTTAATGATGAAAATACATTCACGTATTGCAAATATGACACAAAGGAGAAAGAGGAGAGTTAGTCAGCCTTTCTGACCTCAGAGAGAGACATATCCTGTGCACTCAAGGGTTGCTTAGTTGAGCTAAAGTGGTGGTGAAACAGATTAACTTTTAAAGTTTTACAGTGTATATGTGGTGCTTTTTTCTGTGTTTTTGTTCTGTTATTTAGTCAGCAACAGTTAAAGAATCTTCAAGCAGCTTTGGGGAGTAGACTGGAAGAATCTCTATGCATAATCAATGAAAAAGTACCTTTTAATGACACAAGTACGTATTGCCTTGGTGTACATTTTTTAGTCCTCTTTACTTTTGGGGATTCATCTGGAGGAAATGCACTGTAGGAATTAAAACGCATTAGATGTAAGAAAAGTTGGGCATCTAAACAGGCACCTGGTGCTAATTGTACTTTGTATTCTTAAAAGCCCCTTCCAACCCAAACCATTCTATGATTATATTCATCTTTTTGTTTAGTGATCTTAAAATATCAAATGTTTCAATTTTCATTTTATATATAACTTTAAATTGCTTGTGTTGCTTAATGTTGACAGAGTATTGTGAAAGATGAAAGTTTCTCCACTTCTTTAAATTTTCATCTCAAAGGATGTTACTGTCAGATTGTATTTAAAGTCCCATTAAACCTAAGATAAGCTAGTAGCTATGGAAGTATATTGTTTAAGTAATGATCTGTGCTTTGTGGCAAGTCTGTCACATTTCTCATCTCTGATTAGAAAACACTCAAACTACTACTTATGTGTGAGCCCAAGATAAAAGATAAATATTTCCAAGGAAAAGATACTTTGATTTTTTTCCAACAGTGACTTTTGACCTGAAGGACTATTTTGGTACCAAAATCAATATATGCAAGTGTTAGGTGCTGTTTTCAATAGCTTGAAAATGAGGTTGTATGTCAGTCTCTACTTTTTGGGCAGTGAGAGTAGAAGGATCTGGAATAGTGAAAAAGCTGTTTTGGTAAGATAGTTTGGAAAAGCAAAAATAAGCTGTTTGTTGCCTTTCTTAGAGGTTTTATTGGTAGAAGCTTTTGCATTTTCATGAGGTTCTAAGCTCTGTGGAAGGCTATTTAGAACATTTTTCATTCTCTAAAAGCTGATCTGGCTGGGTGCTGCAAGTGAGCCATCTGGGTTCTGTGCTGGCAATCCAGTGAGTCTTGGCTTGGGGAAAAAAAAAAGAAATAAACAGATCCTTCTCTTTAGAAAACGTTGACCCTTGTACAGCATAATATGCTTAGGTATCAGTGCTTTCAGTTGATATCCCTTTTTTCCCCTTAATTCCTCTCACAAGTAGGGATCTTTGCCTACTGTCTTGTTTATGCTTCTCTGGCTGCTTTGGCTGATATCTTCAGGTAGTTGTCCTTGTAGCAAGAACTTTGATGCAAGTAATTTGTCTGCTTACTCAGCTGCCATGGTCACATAGCACAGTTTTGCTTGTGTAGAAAACACTGCAGGAATGGAAAGCTCTTAAGTGATAGAAAATGAGAGAAAGTTAGGAAATGTTCGTTTGCTATGGATTCCATTGTGAATAACAGGAAAAAAGAGTAAGAAGCTGTAAGTTTTCTTTGTATGCCAATTTAAACCAAAGTGGTGCTTATTGCATTTAATTGAGAATGGATCTGTTTCTCTTTAAGTACTTAGGCTTTGTAAGTGTTCATTGGGTACAAATATCCCTCTGCCTCTTTATAAGTGTGCTCGTTTGTTATTTGACTAATCGTTCCAGGTGCTCTATAGCTGAAACAAAGCCTGAAATATATGGAGAGTAGAGCTTGTTCTAAACTGTCAACAAATCATGTAGATAGAGAGCATGCAGTAGGAAGAATACATTGATCTTATTTGACAGTTGCTGGGACGTAACTGAAATTTGCAGATCTTAAATTTTGTAAGGATTTTTTAAAAAGACTTCTCACTCTTACATAGTAAAAAAATATTGCTTTTCCGTACAAGAAGATTCTTAGGTTTCCTATCAAATTTAGGGTGCTCAGGTAATTAAGTCAGACTTTTAAAAGGCAAATATGGAAATACTTTCTCTCCACTTAGTCACAGTAACAATTCTTGAATGATAGTGATTAGTCCAACCTCAATAAATCAGTTCTTCCAATTTCTTGTTATTATTTACACAAACTATAATGTTACTGCAATGAAATTTTCATTTAAATTGCTGTATACTGATAAATGTTTCTTCCTTTAAAAAAAAAAGTGTTTTAATAAGTACATATCTCAATTTCTGCCCTGTAGGATCTAATCGGTACAATGCTCTGAATGTACCATTGCACAACAGAAGATATCAGGTAAGCACTTCTTGGAACTTCATATATAAAGAAGTTTCTACACAGGTATTGAATAAAACCAGCCATTTTAGCAACCCAAAATGGCAGAAGATGGCCTGTCTTACTTGGCACTCCAAGAAAACTTCTATCCACAAAGCCTCTGCATTTCTTAAAGATGCTTTTCTCTTGGGTTATTAATGCTTAACTGCTCATCTCACTCTGACCTAGACCTAGTTCATTAACTCCTGGGTGGTGATTGTTGTAGGTTTTAATTCAATTATACTTCCATAGGAAGAGTGGTAAAAAGGCTTAAGTATTTCATTAGTAAAAGTTACATGAAATATTCTGTTTTACAGTGCCAACCTGCATTGTTTAAAGTTTAACATTTTATTTTTAAAGATGCTTTAGTTTAGAGGATTTAAAGTTCTTGTTGAAAACAGAAAGTTTTGTTACTTTAAATTCCATTTCACTGAAAGTCAACTTCTTTAGTTGCATTACTGAAGCTACAAAGAATGTTTTGGTTTGTAAAATGCATTGTTGTACACTAGAATACTATGCTAGTTAATATTACTTGTCATTGCTTGTAATCCTTCCAAGGAATAAATCGTGTGATTTTGAGAACTCTGTGAGATGCATCCGCATTTTATGAAATACTTCTAGACTTTTTATTGCAGCCAAATTCCCCTTGATCATTTAAATATTAGTAAATGACTTCAAACAGTTTGAGTTCATTACTGTAATATCACCAGCTTTGGGAAGATGATTTGCTCTGTATTCAAAAATGCACCATAGTTCTGTGTGAATTTCTATATGTATTAGGGACTTAACTGAAGTAAATGAGACACTTTGATGTCAGTACTGACTGTGCTGCTGTGCTGTCAATGAAGATGGACTCCATGATGCAGAGAAGGTGGTTAGTCCAACTTGTGTAACTAGAACCTTTGAGGTAGTGCATTCACATTTCTCTATAGAAGGGTTTCAAATAGCTGCTTTCCCCTTTTCTTAGATATGTCTGTAAGTGACCTTGTTCCTCGTAGGTCTGCATTGAGAAATGGCAACCTGCTGTACAGTTCTGTGATGAGAATGGTCTTAATTCAGCCTGTTGCTGACTAGAAAAAATCTGAATAATTGCACGGAGTTTATCCCTTTGCTGTTGTGTGGTAGTCCTTTGTGAGACAACTTCACATTTAATGGTCTGCAGTCTTGAAAATGTTCTGGGACAGATTTTTATGACTCTTTGCCATTCTATTGTAGAAGTGCTGGCTGCTGCATGAAAGACAGTAAAAAAAAAAAAAAAGTATAATGGTCTGCTTTCCTTCCTTGCATAACTAATTGACATACACAAACTGAGTATAATAACTGCTGTTTGCCCCCTAAACCTGATCCACAGCTTAGATTCACTTCATTTAATACTTCATGGAGTATTATCAGCTCATCACTGGAGAAAATAATTCATTCTTGTCTGCAGTGTCATATTATTCTGTCTTTTATATCCACAATAGAACATGGTTTTCTTCTTCACTGCCTTTGTGGGTTTTTTTTTTTTGTACTGCTCCATTTTGAATTTGTTTCTCAGATACCTTTCTACTGCAGTAAAACTAAAGAACAGCCTAATGAGAGCAGCAGCTCAGTTCTGTCCAGGTGGGAGAATTGAGTTCTACTGAACAGAATAAGCATTCATTTATCCCGTTGTTTTTTCAGTACCTAGTTAAGCTTCCTTACAGCAAGTCATTATAAACTTCTCAGTGTTGCCATGTTTACAGAACTGAGCTGTCATCAGTAATTAATCTATTGATCTTTAGAAGTCTGTCATTATAGTAACTGCCATTGTTCTTATAGCCCATAGTTTGAACAGTAGAGCAAAAGCAAGCATCATCTGTTGTACGGAATGATTGCTTTTGTGTTTTAGGTTGAACTAAAAGGAAAGAAGTCATAGCCTTTTTCATGTATCTAAACATAGAATGTTTTTTGTATTTAAATAGGTTAATGTCATACAGTCATTTTTTATAACTGTTTTCACAGCTCAAGTTGCGAGACCTTGCTGGCCAGGCGTTGTCTTTTGTGCAAGAAATTGTAACAGCTCTTCTGAATTTTCATACGTACACTGAGCAGAAGGTCCAGATCTTTCCCATTGATTCTGCAACAGACACTATATCGCCATTAAATCAGAAGGTAAAATTTTCTGATTACAGCTGTATGTATATTCAGTTATATAGACTTTCCTGAGTGAATAATCATAGATGGAAACTTCTACTACCTTTACTGGAAAGTTGTAAATGTGTTCCTGAGAGGCAAGCTCTCTTGCATGGGAGGTCTTTTCTGCTGGGTGGATTGTCCACGTGCACATGGGTGGGTGCAAATAATCCTTTTCCTCTATGCCTTTGTTAAAATAACAGCATGGAGAGCAGCAGCATGGTCATCAAATCATAGTTTTGCTTTTGAAATGTTAAATGAAAGTGCATTGTTGAAGAGTTGAGCTGATTACTTAAATATTGCGCTGCTACCTGGATGCTTGTCCTAGCTGGACAAGTAGTAGGAAAATGTACTGGGGTATGGAATATGTTGAGATAGGAGGTCCTGTGTTTGAATGATGTAACTACAACATGAAATAAACTGGATGTAAGCTAGGTTTATGAAGGAGACTGTTCACTTGTCAAATAACTAATTTATTTTGGGCTGCCTGTGTGAAGAGCTCTCTTGTAAGTGTTCTGAAGCTTCAAGTTGCTGAGCGGTGCAGTCAGTACATTAGGAGGAGGGGAAGCCATCCGGAGGGATCTGGACAGGCTGGAGAAGTGGGCCCATGAAAACCTAATGAGGTTCAATAATGCCAAGTGCAGGGTGCTGCACTGGGGTCGGGGCAATCCCAGGTTTTTATACAAATGGGGCAAAGATCTTCTTGAGACCAGCCCCGGAGAATGACTTGAGGGTCCTGGTGGATGAGAAGCTGGACATGAGCCAGCAGTGTGCGCTTGCAGCCCAGCAGGCCAGCTGTGTTCTGGGCTGCATTAAAAAGGGGTGGCCAGCAAGGAGAGGGAGGTGATTGTCTCCCTCTACTCGGCTCTGTGAGGCCCCATCTGCAGCACTGTGTCCAGGCCTGGGGCCCCCAGTACAGGAAGGATGTGGAGCTCTTGGAGAAGGAGGGCCACTGAGATTATCATAGGGCTGGAGCACCTCTCCTATGAGGAAAGGTTGAGGGAACTGAGCTTGTTTAGCTTGGAGAAGAGAAGGCTCTGGGGAGACCTCATTGTGGCATTCCAATACTTGAAGGGAGCTTATAAACAGGAGGGGAACGGCTGTTTACGAGGGTGGGTAGCGATAGGACAAGGGGGAATGGTTTTAAACTGAAACAGGGGAGGTTTAGGTTAGATATTAGGAGGAAGTTTTTCACCCAGAGGGTGGTGACACACTGGAACAGGTTGCCCAAGGAAGTTGTGGATGCCCCATCCCTGGAGGCATTCAAGGCCAGGCTGGATGTGGCTCTGGGCAGCCTGGTCTGGTGGTTGGTGACCCTGCGCATAGCAGGTGGTTGAAACTCGATGATCATTGTGGTCCTTTTCAACCCAGGCCATTCTGTGACCTTGCAATGGTCTTGAAGTATGTTGACATTGAGAAATCTGACCTGACTCTTCTTTCACTCAATGGGATGACATCTTAGGGTATCCTCCAGAGTTCTTAAGTTGCATCTTTTGAGTTTTTCTTTCTATGTCATGAAGCATAGATGATAATTTTGTGCACAAATATTCGTGCAGGAGGTCCATATATATATGCTTTGGAATAAAACTGCTTTAACATCTGAGTTGCTGACTAAGTAACATCAGTGAACAAACATGCATTAAAGTTGCTAAATGACCCAGTGTTTTGTGATTGAACTGATGATTTCAGATTAGTAGTTTGTATGGCTCAGACTTTAAAGTCTTGTTTATCTCTTTCATTGAATGGCTGTATAACACCTGCAGAAGCAAATGTAAACTGTTGCAAAACTTTTCTCAGGAGGACTTCCATTCATCTCCTTACAGGCAACAAATATGCTTTTGTGGGTATTTATCAGCTAGAGAAATCCTATTCAATTTACTTTCTCAATCCTTTTACCTATATAATCAAGAATAAGCTTTTCCAGTGGTTCAGCGTAGATCTTTGAGAATAGTATATTCTTGCTTCACTAATAATACTCTGAATGGCACATCCTTCTTTTAATAACTGTAATTTTGTTATCTTCCAAGTTCTTTGGAGCAGAAACTGAGTCTCCTTGTTTATGTGGCCTAGTGTGGTGATGGGATTCCACAGACACTACTGCCACTTACTCTGGTCAGATAAATTGGGTTTCATAGACATCATTTCTCATGCATGTATTTGTCTTAATGTCCTAATCAACAGTTCTTTGTTTTTCAGCAGATAAAAGTGCTTTCACACAGCTGAAAGGTGCAACTTAATCCCAACTCTGATTCTTCTCTCTGGATAGTTTAGGTTTTGTCATCATGAATTCTCTTGTAGCCTACCTTTATTCTTGTATGTTGGTGACCTAAATGCTTTAGTGCATTCTACCTCACAGCTTTCATGGTGATTTCCCAGCAACAAAGTCTCTTTTGTCACTCACTGAAGCTGCTGTTGCTCCTGTATCTTCAGTTAACATACCTAGTTGCTTGGCAGGTATTCTCAGTGTGGTCTTAACTTCTGCACTGAGTGCTTCAAAAGCCTTTCTTAACGCAGAAAATGAAACAAGTATCATGCAGTGACTGAGCACACTTGCGCTGATCTGTTTTTCCCCAACTCCAGGTCTTGTCTGGCGTTTTCAAGCTATTTTCCCCACCAGACACTCAAAATAGATGTGGACAATTCCTTTCCAGGTTCAAGTATTCCTTTTCTCCTTAAGCATTGGATTGCTGGTTTCTGCTGGGGCTTCGGCATTGTGCCAGATAATTCCAGTCTTTTTCCTTGCAACACAGGGCAGGAGCTTTCTGCATGTGGCACTTTTTTCCTTAGATTTAAGAACTGACCATAATTCCATCCAGATTTGTGCATGCATAAGAGCTTGGCATCTCTTCTTGTTAACACTGTGTTACTGCAGCATAATAATGACGAGAAAAATTTCTTGTACCCTATTTGCCTGGGATCTTTACTTACTATTGTAGTATAAATAACCAAAGGTGAAAGTATCTTTCTGTGGGGTAAATTGTGATTGCCACTATCGATTGCAGAAAAGGTTCTTCAATACTATGATACGTATATCTACACTGTTAAATTTTTTAAACCTAAGAGTACCACCAGTGTTCATTTTGAAGAGGTTGAATGAATACTTCTGTTTTGTGGCTTACTTTTTTAGAGGATAAATTAGCCGTAAATTTATTTAAGCATCTTTTAGGAAAGATGGCAGTGCAATGAGGCCAGAGTTTCAGGATTTCTCTTAACTGTCACATTTGCTGACAGCAGCCATTCCCCCTTTGCTCAGTTATCCCTCCATCATTTACACTGGCATGAGCATACTTTTGCCCATGTTGAGGACTGGACTGAAAACATAAAAATATATACATTTCTCTTGCTGTCAGTTCTAACTCAGTTCAGTTCTTCACTACTTTGCACAGCAGAACTGTTGAAATGCTTGTGCTGATTAATAGCACAAGGGCTGATAAGAAAACAGTAGCTGGGAGGAAGGTGGCACAGCTTGTTTTGGTGACTTACTGAGTGCATGGATCTAGCCTTAATTTGATGTAGTTGAGCAAGTAACACAAAGTTTTTTATAGTCAAAAACCCAGGTGTACTGTGCATGACAGGTATAGGTAGATAAGGTGCTGTGGCAGAGTTATACGTGGGAGGGGTTTGCCTGGATTTCCATTACTGTCTTTGCTTTCCCTAAAGGTGTATGTCTGTATGCCATGTGGAGGAGGGGGCTGTACATCACTTGATTTTATTATCGGTGTCTTGGGGATCATTTAAAGTGATAGATACTGTGTTAAAATTGACTTTTCTGTTGTTAAATGTGAAACAGTTTGAGAGTCTTCAGCAAGCACCATCTCAAATATCTCTCTGTACTCAGTTCTCGCAGTATCTTCATGAAAATGCTTTTTATGTTCGTCCTCTGGAGGAAGGAATGCTTCAGTTGTTTGAGAGTATTACAGAAGATACTGTGACAGTCCTGGTAAGATTTCTTACTTTTAGTATTAAAAAAGACTTTAACAGAGCAGAAATACTTACGCTGTTTTTCTTTCCAGGAAACAACTGTGAAATTGAAGGCCTTTTCAGAACATTTAGCTTCATACTTATGCTTTTTAAGAAAGATTCTTCCTTATCAGTTGAAAAGGTACTTCCAGTTTAATAGATCAAATTGAAGGGGCACTGTCAGATATGCAACATTGACAACATCTACAACTCAAATATTAAATGAAACCTTAAAGCACCTTAGATTAAAGGCAGAAATTTTCTTTGCGTAGTGTTTCTTGAGCCTTTAAGTTATGCTTTTTTATTTTTTGGTCATTTTTCCAATAGGCATTAAAACTGAACCACTATATTTTAAAACTTCTCCCCTTGAAGATGTGGCTTTAATAAAAGCTCTACAGACTTTAATGTTTAATTGTATTACTCAACAGTATTGATACTATGCAGATATTATACATGAAACATATTATACTAATTTCCTGGGCCTGTCTGAAGATTTTGTTATTCTGTATGTATAGCAAAACTGTCAGATGCACATTCCTTCTGTAGTGAAAATGTGTGCTCCTGAGTTGGTCAAAGGGAGGTACTTTGTCAGTGCAAAGGAAGACTTAAAAAGACCTAAAAAGGTTTTTATGATTTCTTTGTAACTTTGCTGTGTAACTCCAATAAGTTAACCTTTCTAAAATGACTTTTTTATTGCTTCTTTGGACTGGCAATGTAGAAAGAACTACCTGTCTACCCCCAAAATCTTGAAATTCTTATGTAAGAGATTTGCTCATTTGTTTTTTTATGTGTGTGTTTAAAAATCATATTCCTAGTTTGGAAGAAGAGTGTGAGTCTTCTCTTTGCACAGCTGCTTTAAAAGCTAGAAATATGGAGCTACACAGAGACATGAAAAGGTTGACGGCGATCTTTGAGAAGCTACGTACATATGTTAGTCTTCTTGCTTTACCAAGTAAGTGCCAGCTTGGGCTCAGTTGCTTTGAGGCTAGGAGAAACTGGTTTTAGATTTTTAGAGTTAATATTTTCATGAATGATAGAGTTCTAACTTTTTTCTCCTTTTTCATGGTACTTTTAGGTACGAAACCAGAAGGACTACTTAGAACAAATTACAGCTTAGTGTTTACAAACATTGCTGCAAGCCTTCATGGGTCTCATGACATCCTGAAAGGTGAGGCTGCATGAGTAGTGATAGGTTTCAGTTTTCATCCTTAGTAGTTTTCATCCTTAGTCTTTCAACACAGCAGACGTGGACTTTCTCTGTTAAAATGTTAAATGTGTGGTACATAGTAAATCTGATTTGTTTTGCCCATACAGATTGACTTTAAACCTGCCGAGTACAAGTTTTTGTCATCCACAAATGTTTTTCAGTACTCTGTTCTGTTAGCTTAGTTCTTGTAAGTTTCTGGAACATTAAATTGTGATGCTCTAGACCTTTTGTGAGCTGTGGCACCTTAGTTCCTGAATTGTAGTGTTGTAATTGAATGTATACAGAATGGAATGCTATCTGCGTATGTATTCTCTGTTTACATAATGTTGATCTGGCACTACCATCAAAATGGAAGTTTTCTTAGATTTCAAGTTGGTTACACTTTTTTTTTAAACATGATTATATAACCAAAGATGATAAAGTTAGTTTCAAAATTAAAACGGAACTTCTTCCTTCTAAATGGCCTACTCTCCTTTTATATAGAGGATGTAGATTTGTTACATTTCTAGTGGAGTCAGCTATATAAACATTAAGGTCTTAATTTAAACAAGGTGTTTTGTTTTTATCTGTTAGTAATAATGTCAAGAGTACTACCTAATTTTATAGAATCTTTGGTTTAACTGAACGATTATGTTAGAGATTTGTAGGTCAAACACAATGAATTACTAAGCCAGGCAGCATTGCAGCATAGATAAGTTTGATGAGTACTTCTGCCTCTTGTTATGGTTTCTCTAATGTAACATCAGCACAAATTGTACTTAACAAAAGAAGTGAAGAAGACTGAGAAAATTTGAAGAAAACTGTCAGAACTCATTAGTTAGTAATGGAAATGTTGCAACACCTCAGACTTCCATATAAGAGAATTCTTGATTTGTAGTTTCTCTTTACCTTCCCTATCCCAAATGTAACTCCAATTCCTTAAGCTTGAATCAGGTTAAAACTTCTGGTGATAATGACCTCACATTTCTCATTTTTGTACCTGTGAAACATTTACTTTTGAAACTAATGCTTCTTTGTAAATTACTTTCAGAAAGTTCTCTGTGGTGGTGATGTTCTTTGTTTGTTCCCTCACCCTCAGAAGACTATTCTGTTAATTTTGCCTGAAAGAAGTTTAGAATACCTTTTCCTGTGCTGTATAGTTCTGGTAGCCTTTTAGATTTGCTCTGACAATTAAAATACCCTACCCTTTTAAGTTCCGTAAGCTTTGGACTAATTGTTAGTAATGTTTCACACCTGTCTCTCATGTCCTGATGTAAGCATGTGGAAGTGGAAAATATACTTTGGAACAAAGTGCTAGTTCAGTGGGAGCTTGTCTTCCCTGTATAGTTATGGTTTTTGGGATAGAGCACACTTAAATATGTCTCTTTGTTCTCCCTTCTGTAACAGACACTATGTCTGTTCTATCATGAACAACCACCTATGGCAATCTACTGAACAACTAAGAGTATCCAGGCTAAGTATTTATTCAACTCAAGGAGGGTAAAAGTATTCAAATTTCAGTGTCACGAGCTGAAGTTGGAAATGGTCACTTAAATAGACAAATACATAAATGATATCAATGTTTTTATTTTTCTAGACATTTCTAAGCACTACAGTCAAAAAGCTACACTAGAACAAGATGTTCCAACTGCAACACAGAAGCTCATAACTACAAATGACTGTATTTTGTCCTCCATTTTGTCTTTAACAAATGGAGTAGGCAAGGTAATGGAAACTTTTGTCTAAATATAATGCCACAACTTGAGCATTTTTTTTCTTTTTCTTTAATAAAAAAGAATGATTTGAGAAATGTAAATGTGTCTTTAGTACTCCTACCTGTATTCAGACTTATTCTAAGGTATTTTTTGTGCTGTATGTTAAAAACAATAGGTGATAATAGTAGGTACCCTGAAAAGGATGTTTTGCCTTAGTGAGGTCTGAGCTATGTGAAATTCAGTTTCACTAAGTGCTTTTCCCTCTCTTAAACGTGTAACTGTTCTGACAAGTCATTCTGTTCAGCTTAATTCAAAAAGTGACTTCTCTTGGTATGTCTAGATTGCTTCGTTCTTTAGCAACAACTTGGATCACTTCACTTCTTCATTGAGCTATGGCCCAAAAGGAGGAACAGAGTTCATCAGCCCTCTTTCAGCGGAGTGTATGCTGCAGTACAAGAAAAAGGCAGTTGCCTATATGAAGACTCTGAAGAAGGTTTGTTCAGTTCATGTGCTTGCACAGAGAAACAATAATTAGCTTGCTCTTCAGTTGTACCAAAGAGAATACAAATCAATGGTTTCCAGTATTTGGAAAGATTTTTCTCATTGAGAAATAATGGTATTGAAGAAATTTGAGAACGTAGTTGCTCTCAAAACTGATGGTATGTATTGACTCTGCTGTTACCCATTTCCATGAGTAACTTCTACACTGAGGAGGGCCTGAGCTGATATTTTTTACTGATTTTTAACCTTCTTCCCATGTTTGCCAAGAATGTGAAGTTAGTGGCATCATTTTTGTATTTGCATTCACTGAAGACAGTTGAAATCAGATGAAGAAGAAACCAGATGTTAGGAAAGAAGTATGATAGAGAAAATATGCTGAACTGAAAGACTGACCATTGTCAAATCTCCTGCAGTTCCTACTAAAATTAAAAACTAAGTGATGATGTATGTGTAATTAAGGGTTATCATCGCTCCCCTTTGATGTGCTGATGTCTGTCAAGTGGACCTAAAGATGCTTCTGGTCACAAGTAGCACATAGTTTTCTTAGCACCTTTTAATTATGTGAGCATTTTGATAGGGAGTAGGTGGGTTTTTTAAGTTGGAACTTTTTTTTCTACTGGTTGGTAAACAATTGGAAAATGTTTTTCTACCCTCTATTAAAATAAGGAGGGTAAGAAGAAAATAAATGTAAAACACTTATTCTGATTTACTGTCAAATATATTTTGATTTTTTTCTATCCTTTTGCAGCCTTGTACAGATTCAGTGCCTTATGAAGAGGCTTTGGCCAATCGCAGAGTTCTTCTGAGTTCCACAGAAAGTAGAGAAGGTCTCACACAACAGGTATCCTGGTATACATTTTACTAATATTTAGTAATGTATTTATAAAGGCAAAGTAGTATTGAGTAGTCAACCTGTGTGTGGTTTTGTACATAAATAGGAATTCTGAGTCTTAAAATACGACTCTAGATATCTTATTTACAATTCTGAAAGTAAAAAAGTGCAAACTGTCTTAATATTGTGTACTGTTTTGAGTGGGTTTTCTTGGACTATGCAAAAGTTGTTTACAGCAACAATTTTTTTAGAATATATAAAGTCTTATTTCCATCATTCTTGAAGTATGTGTTTCTTTTCTGGAAGGTGAGGCGAAGGGAGATTAAGTGGTGTTTAAAAGGTCTGTGCAATCTGTCCATCTCTGAGTGAAGCTGACTGATGTACTGACTTAGCTATTAGCTTGAATGTTCTTGTTGTGTTTATGGCCTTTAACTTCTACAGAAGAAAGACTTCAGTGTTTTTTGTAAGAACCCATTCAGAGCATATTAGTTGAGATGAGATGACTTCAAATAGAAATGTGTGGAGGGATAGGTTATATAATGTTTCTTAGCTTTCCTTACCTCGACAAACTGCAGTTTCTGTATGTGTGAGTGGAATGTCTGGGAAGGAAAGGATTATGTTTGACTTGTTTACAGATAACAAAGCAGTGCTGGTGCCAGGCACACATCTTTTAAGCTTTCCTGTTTTTCTTCTAACTTCTGCCTGCTCTGATTTTCACCTAATTTGTCTTTGGCTCTTTGAGCAGCAACTGGTAACCCTTATTCAGACTGCTTCAGTAGTTGAGTCATTTGTGATACATAACCACACATAAGCCTATAGATAGCAGACTACTACTTAGTACCTCACCTGTATAATAGTTTAAAATAATACTGTCTTCAAACAGTATTATTTTCTCCTGGAGGGTATTTTTTCCTATGTTCAGTAACATGCAATGTGAACTTCCATCCAAAAGGTCCAGCAGAGTTTGGAGAAAATTGCAAAACTTGAACAAGAGAAAGAGCACTGGATGTTGGAGGCCCAACTAGCAAAAATAAAACTGGAGAAGGAAAACCAAAAGCTGAAGAACTCTCTTAGTGGACATTTAGCTGAAGCTGTACAAGAGTGTTCTGTTTCATCAAATATAGCTGAACAAAAGGAGGAAACCACAGAGAAGAGTCAGAGGGAACCTATCAAAAGTACTAGCCTGGTAAGTGACTTCTTACTTAAATAAAAAAAAAAGCCATGGTAGCTGATAATAGCACTATTTGATCAATGGAACATTATTATTGAAAGCATTTTCATGTTGAAATGCAGTCATGCTTAAGCTTCTGATTTGCAAAGCTGTTTGCTGATACTCTCCTCAGAGTTTGGAACTTCCTGACTTCTGAGGCTTTGTTCACTATCTTAATTAATGAAACATTCTTGTAGTTCTGTACTTGATTGGCTGAGGGGGGGAATAATTGGTGCTTGATTTCTTGACTTTTCTGACTGCAGCTAGGAAGCCTTGCAAGTAGTTATATCTTAGATTGGCTCTGAGTTTCTGATACTTCTTTGCTTGCAGGTGTGTAAAAGCAAACAGAAATAGGTGATCAGTATTTTTAAGTGGATTAAGAAAGAACAGGTCAGTGTAGTATAACTTAATTTGAACTTGAAGCCATTCAAATTTCCAGTGTTCACTGCATCATTAATTTTGCATAACTTTTATGGCTTCTTATAGCTTGGATTCAACAGTGCTTTTGGATGTGGCATGTATTCTGTCTTGTCTTTGTATGTTGGTAAATAATAAGAACCTACAAAAATACTAACAGGTTGTTTTCATAGAATCATTTAGGTTGGAGAAGATTTGATCTTTAAGGTCATCATCTCCAACCAGTTTTGAAATAAACCGTCATGTTAAGTTTGATCCTTTAGGAGTTTACAGAGAACATCTTTTTCTAGTTGGTGCTTCCTGTAACTGGTAGGTCAGCAAACCATATAAACATTACCCATAGACATAAATCTGTAGTCCTGTTCAGGTCAAGGAAAACATGTAAGAATGTCTTTGTAAAGACATGAAACTAGTTATTCACGTACATCTCTTCTAGAGTTTTGTATGTGAAACTGAGAACTGAGCTGTCAGTGTAATTTATTAATCAGACTGCAGAGAAAAGAATTCAGAAGGTACTCAAGAAATCCAAGATGGATTTCCTTGCTCTTGAAGCTGGGTAATTAAGAGACATCTCAGTACAATAGAGGACTAATTTTCCTGTGTGTATAATCTAGAATCTATAATTGGGTAAACTAGATCTTGTTTGATTTCGTTGCTGTTACCCTGTAAACATCCTAACATGTAGAGGGATATTTAGTATTTGGAAAGTTGATGTTGCCTGAAATTCTATTCAAGGCATTCATTGCACTATCCTTGCTTATGTTGTAGGTAGAGATGCTTAAACTTAATTCTAACTGTCACAAGAATTTGTTTTTGATCGAAGTCCTTTTATGACTGATGTCTGTTTTTGCAGTTTTCACTTCATGCATATTGTCTTCCTTGTTTTAGATTGGGATGTTGACTATAACTACTGACGACGAGAAGGTAATCTCTTTCAAATGTTATCAAAATATATCTAGTAAATACTTAAAACTTAATGTTATTCCAAAGGTGTAATTAACTATTAAAAACAACAGTACAATGACAGAAGTTGCTTAGGTAGCTTGTGTACCGTATTTTCAGGTTTCTAAAACGATATTTCTGTTTGTTTTTGTGTTTCTTTTAAATATTCTTCTGTGTCATGAATTATAGCTCTTATTCATGTAAGCGGTTTGGAGCAGTGCAAGCTCATCCAGATCTGTTCTCTGTAGCTGAACGAGAGTCTTGCTTTCTGTATTTAGAAACCAGAAGTGGATTCAGAGCCTCAATTCTTAATCCTTGAGAAAGGGGTTGAAGTTGGTGGGGGGAGAGGAAGTCACTGGACCAAGTGCCCTGTATTTAACACATAAGTACAGACTATCCCAAATCAGACATTGTTCTGAAAGAAACATTCGAGCAGCTCAGACAAAATATCAACAACAAAACAAAAATATATCTTAAATGATCTTGTAGAGCATGCAACATTAGTTGTAGTTCTTACAGTTTAGTAGCTTCTGAAATTTAGTTATGCAGAAGAATTATTCCTTAATGAGAAAAGCCAATAGGTGTTTGGAGTTTTTGAAGTTGGTAGAACGAGCTTGCTTCTGCAGTGGGTTCATCATCAGACTTCATATCTTAAATTAAGCAACCTCTTGCATCCTTGATCCTTAAAGGAAGTATGACACTGGGAGGTGATGTCAGCTGACCTCCTGTAATTTGTTGTGATTTGGGGAAATAAATGCTTTTGGATATGACAGGGAGACCTCAGTACAGAAGGGGATTCTGTATAGAGGACAGTGTTGTGGTGTGAGTATTCAGTCTACTAAAACAAAAAATTAAACAGTCACTTATTTATAAGATTCCAGATGTTGAATCTCGTGAAGACTTGATTAAAAAACACTATATGGCAAGAATAGCAGAACTTACGTCCCATCTACAGCTTGCTGACAGCAAATCAGTACACTTTCATGCAGAGGTGAGAATACAGTTACGTTTGTACTAAAAACAGTAAATCCCCTTCTGAATTTTCCATAAGCAAGTGTTAAATCTATGGTATGTATTCCAGGAAAAATGTGCTTCTGCAGTACATTTTTTGGCTGTGGTCTTGTATGCATAAAAATGGATGTTACAGAAAGACTTCAAACAACAGGAGGAAAAATGTCACCCAGTAAGGCTAAAAAAGCCTGAGAATTAAAATGTGTATTGGTCTGTTGATATAAATTGAAATGGCTGGTTTTAGTTACCAGGCTACTTTTGGTTTCATCTTAAAGTGATGCTGAGAACATTCAATACTTGAATGTATCATGAAGAAATGAAAATAGCTCTCTTGAGAATCTTTTTTTTGTACTTAAGAATTAACAAAATAATTCATACTCTCTTTAGCTTCCTCTTTTTATTTCAGATCAAGAAGTAATTCTTGTATATAGTGACTATTTCTTGTGGAATTAACAGAAACTTCTTAAAGTTAATTTTTGATAGAGAATTACATAGTAAGCCCATCTTTGTATGACACTTGAGTAATGTATAAAGTGAGATGTTTGTGTTGCTTTCTATGAAATATTTCCTGGCAGAAATGGGGTGAAAACAGAACACTTAAACAATAATATGGAAATTCTGTAAAATAAAAACAAGTTTACTGTTAATTATTTAATTATCTTTGTATTTAAAACTGTGCAGATTCTGAGTAAGTTTCTTGATATCTGAGGATTACAAAAAGATGGAAACACTCAAAGTATTCAGTTAAAGATGGCATAAGGTAGCACTTTGGAACTAACTTTCTTTCCTTCTGTCTTCCCTATCCTGCTCTAACCACCAGTGTCGAGCACTTGCCAAAAGACTGTCTTTAGCAGAGAAGTCCAAGGAATCACTCACAGAAGAGTTGAAACTAGCTAGTCAAAGCATCAGTAGATTACAGGCAAGTAAAATATTAAGTGATGTAATAGATGTGCTTGTTAAGGTAATTGTGTGTAAGGGGAAGGTGAAGAAGAAGAAGACCTCTAAGCTACAGTTGTGCTTTTTAGGTCTTTAGTAATATGATGTAAGAAATAGAGGTATGTGGAGAATAGATGGAAATAATACACTTCAAATGGAAGATCCTTGCAAGGAAATGGTTGTAGAAGCCAAGCCTGTGTTTTTAGCCCATTATCAAGGCTGCTTTATAAAAATTTGGTTTCTGTGTGTGTAAGCACAGGATTGTTTTAGCCTTATTTCCCTCTGTGAGGGGAGGATTACTTAAATATACACGTAGCGATTATAATATCATGTTTAAACCATGCATTTGTGTTGAGTGTGACTCCTCCCCTTCCTATCCTGTCTGTATCTAGTCATTGCTATGTTCTAGTAGTGCCCAGTATCCTTTCATATCTCCAATTCTAGAGACATAGTCACACTGCAAATGTATATGGGTTGCTGACTCCTTGAGCTTCATCTACCACACTTGTTCATGTACATGTGGTGTTTTAGCCCTATGGATTCTACCTGTTACTTGGCTGGAAGTGATATTGGAAAATGTAGCTGTTCAACTTTCATGTAAACTATAAAGAGCTAGGAAAATTATTAAGGAAACCAATCAAAATTAGGGGTGACAGACAATACACGAGTCTTCAGGTGAAAGGGGACCTATGGACTTTTTGTGATATTTTTCAATGGTGTGGCTTAGTTGCCAATTTACCTTGCAGCAGAGATGGTACCAACTGGCAAAGCAGCCATTTTCTTACACTCAACAAAGGCTTCAAGCTGCTGACTTTCTTGTTTGTTTTTTTTTCCCCCCAAGGATGAATTGATGACGACAAAGAGAAGTTATGAGGATCAGCTAAGTATGATGAGTGACCATCTCTGCAGTATGAATGAGACTCTAACTAAACAAAGGGAAGAAATTGACACACTAAAGATGACTAGTAAGGTAAGTTGCCAAGTGTTGACACTACACACTGGCCATAGTTGGGAGCTCTGTGTTTACCTTTGCCATGACTGCAGTAATACCCTTTCACAAATCAATGCACAAGCTGTGGTTTCTATTCTGGGCCAGCTAGAAAGAAAACTCCAAGTCTGGTCATGCACGTTGTCTTGTGCTCTTATCCTAGTTGCAGCTACTCGGTTCTTGGCAATTTTCTTCCTCCTCTGATTTATTTCCATAGTCTAGGTTGTCTGTTTCTTTCATGTAGGAATGAAAAGCTTGCCACGTATTTCATTCTGTGAACTTTCTTAAACCACACTTGAGCTTTTTCCAAGCAAGGAGCCATCCATTTACCCAGAGGCAAGGTTTTCCACTGTACCTTAATAATGAAAAAAGCGCAAGTGTGCTGTTGAGAACAGTGAGTGCTTACACCATGGTGTATCCTGTCCTGAGGGTTCTGGGAAGGAATATGCATTGTGAAGGTCTTTATCTTTCATTCATTTTATTATGAAATGAATAATCCTCCTTAATTGTGGAATGCATGGAAGCAGGTTTCAGCAAGGGGAAGAGAAATCTGTGTTTAGATTAGAGCTCCTTTACAGAGATTTTATCTCATTTATTTTAATTTTAGGCTCTTCTTCCAAGTTCTTCAGATGTCTAAACTTTGAAGTTGACACCGTGCTCTTTAGGGCTATTTCTTAGTGTATGAGCTCTTAGCTGTACACTGACCATAGCATTTCATGTTATAAAACATGAGAACATATACAAAACATAAAATGCTTTGTGGATTTTTCACTTCTCATAATTTCAAAACTTGAAAGGATACGCTGTCTTTAAGGAAGTAAACTTTAATCTTCCAATAGTAGGCACTTGTTTTTGTATTTCAGATGCTGCCAAACATAGAAAACAACTCAATTGAAAGTGATACAGTTTAAAGCCATTATCATTTGAACAGATTTGTTGGTTAGGTTTAAAAACAAATGTTATCCTAAGGAAAGAGTTAAAAAGAGTATTGCCAGCAAGAAACTACTGTGCATTTTTTTTTAAGTTGTATGTTTGCATTGTAGTGTTGTTGGAAGTCAGATGTAAGAAAGTAGTTGTAAAACAAATCCTTTTCTCAAGTACAAATGTTCTGTTTAGTCCAAGCTAAAGTTAAATTTGTTTTGGGTCAAAATTAGGGTGGAGGATGATTGCCTCGTTGATTCTCTAAGGTTTATATTTGGAATACCACTCAGGGTCAAATTAGGACTGGACTTGCCTTCAGTCTGCTTTGCAATATAAATGGTGCTAATACAGTTGAGTGTTGTGGGATGTAACTCAACATCTTTTTCCATAATTTTCAATTACATTGAGGTGTTCTTGTGCTTGTGTGAAAGCTCTGGTACTTTCCTGTGTTATGCCTGTAAGCAGAGGGATTTTGAGAGCAAGCACTTGCCGGCTTATCTTCAGCTTTAAAATGCTTCTTTGCTTGCTGTAGACATAAATTATTAGACCCTGGGTTGTACGTTTACTGTATAGATGTTCGTAGGTGAATTATATATTGTATTCACTGGTTTCTTCTTGTTGCAGGGAAACTCTAAAAAGAACAAAACCCGATAGCTCCCAGCTCATTAGCTATCTGTGGAGGCTGCTGCTGAAGAGAGTGCAGATACTGTTTGGTGCCTGTTATTACGGAAAGCAGGGTGGTGTTGGGTCTCATATGAACTGATCTGGTGCTGTACATGGCTTTAAAATATTTAGCACTTCCAACAGATAGAACTTGGTGTTGTTTCTAAACCAGGACACGTACACTCTGTGGATAATTTGTAATTACCTTCAGTTTTTACTGTGCACTTTTTAAAACTGGGTTTTAATTTCCTGTAATAACTTCAGCTTTTGTATATTTTTCAACTATGATTATGCATTCAGAAATTTGGTATCAGTGCAGTAGTTGTCTGTTTCTGAGTTATGTTAAATTGTCAACAGCTGTACACTCAGTTCTTGCTAATGACAGTTTAAAAATTAATTTGGAAACTTTGGCCATGTCAGCTGTGCAGCTACTACTGTAAATGTACTCCTGCCCTCTTAAATGAATTCAAGTGTGTCTTTAAATGATTTCTCTAAATTCCTATGGGTAAATGGGATTGTTCTTCATCCCCACCTCCTTTTTTTTTTTGTGAGATTGCAATAGTGGAAACTCTTGCTACTTGTATTTTGGCACTTTGGGTTTTGAAATAAAGAGCACAAATAGCTGAACTGGGAAACTTCTATGAAATTGCTTTAAGCCCTAATTTTGGCATTTTTTTATACGTGTATATATTCTGGTTGAAATAGCTGTTAAAAGCTATAGGAAAATGTGATCATAATTTTGCCCAAAAGAGTGAAGCGGAATATGTGTGTGTAGAATAGATCAGCTTACTGTGCTCTCTTACAATGAAGAATATAAAATGCATAGAACATTGAAACACTGAATTTGCAAAAAGTCTCTCATGGGATTAGTTCTGATGGGTCGACCAAGGAGCTGCACATAGCCTTTCTTGTGCTTTGGGAAGCTTGTGATCTCTTGGCCTCTCAAGATTCTTTAAGTGAAGTCTAATAATACACGGTTTCATGACATCTGACTTTTTTTTTTAAACCAGATGTTGTGCTGCTTCACACTGATCTTCGGTTCCATAACTTGCATTGTGGCACTTAGTTGTCCCATAGGGTTTGCTCTGATATCAGCTGTGTCAATGTGTTATCAGTATGTAACAATAAAATCAACTAAACAAAATCATTTTTTTCTTAGTTCTGTTTATGCCTGGCTTGCACAATGTGATACCATGGTAGGGAATTGAAGGTTATCTCCTGGTGAGGTGACCTAAAACAGTAGACCTGATTACTCTTAGTAGTGCTCATTTGCTTGGAGAATGTTTGTCTGAGTGAGCCTGAACTTCTGCACATAGTGCTGTGGTGTGCAAAGTGCACTTGGTTCCCTGTCAGCGCTTCCCACCTTTGTGCCGCCTCGGTGGCAGAAGTTACCTTCTCTGGCTCGATCACAACTATTGAGCTGCTTTGATTCAAGTTATTCCTTCTAAGGACAAAATGGATGTGGTCATGAAGTGGGAGAAGAGAGGGGGAGCATCTGCACAGCTTATTAGCATCCTGTTGAATAGAACTGCATCCCAGCCAGATATAAGGGCTGGGAAGTGTTTACTCTCTTTAACCATTCAATTAAAACAGACCTTCAACTTCAGGCTGCATCTGCTGGGTCAGCATAGGTGGATGTTGTAGTGCTGTTTCTATGTGGTGAGGCTGACTGGCAGGGAGTTCAGTGACTTAATACAACCTCAGTCCTCTGTAGAAGAAAGAAGATGCTGCTAAAACTCCGAGAGTCAGCAGGAGGTAAGTGAACTGCTTTTATATTTTAGGCAATATTAGGAACACTCTCTTTCCTTGGAAAAACACATTTCTGGTTGTTTTGGGGAAATCTGTAGGCAGTTTATCCCTTTTTCCAAATCTTTATAGCCAGAACTTGTTGCTACTGTCCAGAAGAGGTGTGGAAGTGATTATAGCAGTTCTGCGCAGCAAAAGGATGTTGTGTAAAGTGACCTGGGCTATTGCTGATCCCCTGTCTGGGTTGCCACTGTCCCTTGTGTGGTTACTCTGGCTCATGAGCAGTATGCTGTTCAAGGCTGTACCAGATCACTACTCCAGCAAGCTGCTGCTTCCTGGGACAGGATTGCAAGGAAGAGTTCTGAGGGGCAGAGCCACCCTCGTGCGAACTGGTGCCTGTAGCTAGTGATACGGGGCCATGCATAGCGGTTCTGCAGTTCAGACAGCATATGTTGCCCGCTCTTCTCTTTCCCCTGCCTTCCCCGCTTCCTTCTATCCCAACCAGTTTCTGCACTCAAAAATCAGTGGGGGTTCACTTTGGCGAGCTGTATTTGTTTTGCTTGCCTGTTCAGATAAGGCATATACAACTGAAAAACGCGCAGAGCTGCTGGAAGGCGCTTAACACAAATCACTGTTTTCACTATTTGTCTTCTGCAGTAGCAAACGTGCTGGTTTCAGCAGCGTGGCCGTTGCTTTGCACGCTCTGAGGAGGCCCTCTTAAGTACATAAGGCAGACGCCGAGTTCTTAAGTCATGAATTCATTTAGTATCTCATTCTCGACGACTAAATACGAACTCCGTTTTGGTTTCGTACGCTGCCTTCCAAGGGTTTTGGTCGGAAGCAGGAGGTGGTGCCCGCACAGCAGTCCGTCTGACTGAAGTTCATCTCCCGCTCCAGTCGCTTCACAGCTCCAAAAGGCGCCTCCTACCCCAGTGACCCGGCGCCCAGGCCCGCCCCAGCCAGGCCGAGCCCAGGGAGGCGGCGCGGCGGCGGCCCTTCCCGAGGCGGGACTGAGGCTCGGGCCGCCCCTCCAACATGGCGGCGGCCGAGCAGCAGCCGCCGGCGGCCGATGGCGGCAAGGCGCTGAGCGCGCTGCTGGGCGGCATCGCGCAGGCCGCCTACTACGGCAAGGCCGACATCACGGAGGAGCTGCTGCGCGGGCAGCTCTACCCCGAGGCGGCGCCTGAGGAGTTCCGCGCCCTGCGCGCCAAGATGGGCGGCCTGCTGCAGGTAGCGGCGGCGGGCGGGGCCGTGAGGGGGAGCGCGGCTCTGGCGGGGCGTCCTTAACGCCCGGCTGCGGTGTTGGGCAGCCAGGAGGGAGGGCCGAGGTCCTTTGTATCGCCGGTGTGGGAAAGACTCCATGTCTTACATCGACTTTTGCTGACCTTGTAGGAGTGTGAGCACCTGCATTAGATGGGATGATGAGTTTTTGATACACGCGTGTGCTGTCAGTTCGTTGTTAGAAGCAGAAAGTTTCCTTGCCCTTGTGGCTGTTTAATTCCGTCGTGCTCAGTGTCCTGTAAGTAGCAATCAGAAGTCAGTATGGTAAATCAACCCCTTCCTTGTGTCGGGGGTCGGTGAAGGTAAAGGGCTTCTGCGTGCCCTCCCACATTCCATATGTGCAAAGCGTGGTAATTTCTGTAGCACGTGAAAAGCAAGGAGGTGAAATAGGGGCCATAGAAGTGCATTGAATTTACTGCACCAACAAGTATTTAATTGCCCCCCCTCCTGTCCTCCCGGATCTTTGTATATTCCTGGTTTATTTATAAAAGCTGTCTTAATGATCCATTTCTTCCGTAGAACGGTGTAGTTTTCTGCAGAATGTTTATAATCATCTGACCTCTTTCTAAGGCGCCCAATTTCTTTCATGGAACAGTCATGTACCATACTGCTTTCACCTCAGGTGAACCTTTTAAGGAATGTAATTCCTTGTCTGGTATTTCCTAGGAGGTAAAACAAAGCTCCAGGAGGGCTGGCCTTGGGATGTTGTTGCATCTCAGTTGTGTATTTCCCAGCCTCCTATCCCATCAGACTTTAGAACTTTGAGAAATTAGGGGAGATCAGCTCCTGGAGGTTCTCCCAGTTTTTTGGCTTTCAAAGACCTCACCCTGATGAAAATACCGAATTTGTTTCTTCCTTATGGCAGCTGAATTTGCTGAGTTAGTTCCTGTGGCAATAGAAGTTATGCCTTTCCATCTACAGTAATTCTGCTCTTTTCCTTTTGATGGCAGCAGGCTACTGGGATTACTGTGCGTGCTCATTGTGCTGGAGGTGTTGTGGCTCCTGCTGTGCTTCGGAACAAGCTGTACGTTGGCTAAATGAGCACAAAGTCGGCACGAGGAGTCTAAATATGTTGTTATATTCGATTATCAATATATATTTTCACTGAGCACGTTACCATCTGTAACTACTACACCAGTATGCTACTGGTAAAATATTGATTGCTCTACACAAGGAACATTTGACAACCCAGTGTTTGATATGTGACATATGAAATGCATCCATACTGTGTGTACATGACATAACAGTCACTAGCTCTCTTCCTTCTCTTGTTTTCACGAGCTTGCACCAGCTTTTCTGGTGACCATAGTATTTCATCTCACTGTTATTCAAACAGGAGGCTGATGGTACCTTGGCTGTGTGGCTCTGTGGTGCTACTAGCATTCAGTTTATTTCAAGCCCCACCTTGAAGATATTGGTCTTCATGAAAGGGGCTGCCCTTATGTGACAAGTCAGCAGAAACATAGGTGTAAAATTTACTCACTCATGGAAGAAGAAGGCCTTTACATCTTCTTTAGGATTTCTTCTGGCAGCCATTGGTGGCAGGGTAAAAAACAAACAAACAAACAAACAAACAAAACAAAAAAAAGAAAAACACAAAAAACTAATAACCTTCTTGCCTCTTGTAAGGTGGCAAGAAAGCTGTCATTTTTCCTTCCCTCAGTAAGGTATGAACCTTCAAATACCTGGGGTTGGTCACAGGCTCATTTTATTGAGTGCTTTGGAGTTGCTGTGCAAGTCTAAGCTCCTGCAAGGCTCAGATGCAGAGCAGCCTCAGTGCAAAGGCTGAGATAAAACAATTTGGAAAAGTTGATGTGAAAGAGGGCTTGTTTTCTGATGGTGAGAATTGCTGTTGTGCCTGCATCTGCTAACTGAGATCATTGGATATACTTATTCTTACCAGTTCTGATGAAAGTGAACAGTTAACCTGTAAAATAGTATCAGCATTCTGTCCATATCAGATACATTCTACCCACGTTAGCTTGGTACATAGTTTCAAACCCTTCATTCATATGGCTGTGCTTATTTTGGGCAACTTCATTTGTTATTGGGCTAGGCAAAAATGTGCTAACAGTAACTTAGCATAGGATTTTGTGATGGAAGGAAGATTTATCTACTGTGTTGTAACTGGACATGCATGAGAGAACGATGAACTAAACTGCTGCTTGCAGGGACAGCTGAATAACAGCTTTTTAATTTTGTTTAGTTTTTTAAATTCAGTAAAGTACCCCTATTACATAGCTCACTAATCTGAATACAGCTCAGCCACCACCCCTTCATTTTCTGTTCTTGTGTATGCCTAATGTTTTTTGTTTGTTTGTTTTTGAATTTCAGCATCATCATAGAAGATTAGAGAGCTGAATGCTTACTTTAAATGCCATCTACGATACTGCAGCAACAAAAATGTTTGCTCTTTTTAGGGTTCCTCCCATGTTAGTTATTTTTGCTATCAGTTTGTGTATATGTAGTCAGTTCAGATCAGGGCTGGTGCAGCTGCTGGTTGCAGGAAGAACACCGACATGGAGAGAAGTTCTTTGAAAGAAGGAATCAGTGAGGAGGGCTGGCTGCAGGCTGTTAGGCAGCTGGAGGACACTTAAAATAGCAGTGTGGTGCTTTGCTGCCTGGAGCAGCAATTGTCTGCTTGTATGTGCCAGTTAATAAGAGCAGTACGCTCTCATCATTCTGGATTCCTTTTAGTATTCATCATTTTCAGTTTTTCTGATTGTAAAACTCGTTGGTTTATTAAGCTTAAGCCTTTCACGTTCTGTTTCTATTACTATTTTAATTGCTGAAGAGACACTTAGAAGGCAACACTTTTGGTGGGTGCTAGAGGATGCTGAGGTGATGGAATCTGTAGTGTGAGCCGACTTCTACAAATTGGGCTGTCATTCAGACAAAGTAGTGTAGGCAGCGATTCTCCTTTCCACTTGGGAATAATAACCTTTGTAGTGCTCCTGCTGCTGTGCATTGATGACTGCAATTACTGAGAGCAGGCAGAAACAAGGACTCTGGTATAGCATCGTTCACTTAAGCAGTAGTATTTTCCATAACTGAAGCTTTGAGACAGGGTGAAAGATCACCTCCTAATGAGACTAATCCTAGACTCATTTCATTTGGGACTGTGAAGTACTGATATAGCATAAATGTGCAGTTTCACTGGAAATCATGTACTTCATATTTACTTGACCTATTTTATTTGTGTCATCTTCATAGAACTATCGAATGGCTTGTTTTGGAAGAGACCTCTAGGATCATCAAGTTCCATCCCCCCTGCTGTAAGTAGGGTTGCCAACCACTAGGTGAAGTACTAGAGCAGGTTGCCCAGGGCCCTGTCCAGCCTGGCCTTGCACGCTTCCAGGAATGAGGTGCATAAAACCTCTCTGGGCAACCTGTTCCTGCACATCACTTCTCTCTCAGTGAAAAATTTCCCCAGACATCTAATCTATATCTTCCCTCCTTTAGTTAAAAACCATTCACCCTTGTCCTATCACTATCTATCCTTGTGAAGAAAATGTTGATTTCTCTCATGTTTATAAGTCTACTCTCCCAGGCTGTATATGTATCTGTGATTACTCTGACCCACCTGCAAAAAACCTGCCCACCTTTTGTGTTTATCAAGGTCTTTTCTATGGCCAAGTGGTAAATTAAAAGGAGGAGGCAAACTTGCATTGTTGATCTAATAGGTGTGCTAAGCTTTGTATTGCTCAAAATAAGTGTTTTTCCTCAATTACATCATGGATATTTGGCTTTCTTTTAGTTCTTATTAATATATCAAACAGAGGGGAAAAAGAGACAACTTATGTTCTTTCCCCCTTTTCGTGGTCTGAATTGTAGTAGAAAGGCAACTAATGTTAGTTTAGGAAACAACTGGAACTGAAAAGATAGCAGTGACTTCATTATCCTCTTCAGCATTTCCACCATTCTTTTGGGAATAGGAAATGGAGCATAAGTGTTATTGAAATAAAGGCATAAAACTACATGTGAATCCTAAGGGAGTATTTCCCTTTTCAGATATATTCTAAAAAGCATGTGTTTGACAAACACTAATTAAGAAAAGTAGAAGCATTTAATTTGTAGTAATGAACTTCAAAAGCAAGATCCAACTCTTTAGTCTTCAGTCAGATTAGACTCTTGCTAAGGCCAATGGAAAGCAGCCAGGCTAGACTAATGAATTTCAGCATGACCAAAACACATCTTTCTGTGCTCTGTGTGAGTTTCTCTTTTAGTGGAAGGTTTGGTTACAGCTTACTGAAAAAGGCCTCGGATTCATCCCTACAGGAACTTCATCTTCAGGACAAAGTGAAATGAGTGACTCCCTTAAAGGGAAAGCCTTAAACATTTCAAATATTTCACTTAGTTGTTTTTTAATCATTATAAATAATGATAAATACTTATAACACAGTAATTTTTTCTCCACGTATTTATCAAATAATTCCAATGTCATATCAGACTGGAAACTGGAAGACCTCAATTGTGAAGGATATATTTCATAATTCTCTCATTTAGAATGTTAATGTATGTTGGAAAGCTTGTTTCTTTGTCTCTCAGTTCTAACAGCAATAATTGCAATGCAGGTACAGTTAGAGTGAAATTCCTTGTTCTTCCAAATAAGGTTAAATTCTTATTCTTGTTGATACGTATCTGTATCTCTGCCAAAAGATTCCTGACTCATCTTGGTGGGTAGTTTTCATGCTTTGTGGTTTCCATAAACTGTGATGTCAGGATTGTGAAATGTGCTTTTAAGATACATGCAGGCACTGAAGTAGAATCTTAGTAAAAGGCAGGAGAGCAACAGATGTGTTTACTCTGAGTCTGAAGTTTGCACATGACTCCGCTGTCTCTCTTCAGACTGTCGTGTCTGATGTGTGATTCATTCATGCTCTTTTTGCCATTTCTGGTTCAAGTGTAATTGATGTACTGTTTGTATAAATGCTCTTTAGTTTTGCATC